CCCCAAAACCCCAAAACCCCAAAACCCCAAAACCCCTTTGTTAAAAATAATTATTGAAAGTTCAAATAGTCGCAGGTCCTGCACTAATTTCCTCTGAACCTCTCTTTGTTCAGGAAGTCGATCATGTCATCCCAGAATGATTTATGGACATCCTCCCATTCGTCTCTGTAGACTGGGCTCAGTTTGAAGGTCCTTATGTTATGCTTCTGAATAAACTTTTTTGGAAAATGTCGTCTGGTGATTCCTTGGGAGGGAAGTCCTTAAGTTCCCACTCTTCTGCCTGTGCGAAGTATGCTACTACTCTTCTCCAGTGGGATTTATTGAACCCTAATATTGAATCGTAGAGGTCGAATTTGGCAAGCTTTGTGCCAACCATGTACTCAAATTCTTGATGGCCCGAGTACTGATTTTGTCCACTTGCTTTCCTGGCATCATTTCCATCAATAAAAATTCCTTTAGTGAAAAAGTCAATTGCATTGGAGTATCACAACTTGCTATGATCTGAGATTGGAGGGACTACTATGATCGGCTTTCTTTCACTAGATCCGCTTGAATTGAGGATCTCATCTAGGAAGGACACCCTCTTCTTTTTCCTCAGAGTGGGTATATTCACATCTAGGATCTTTTTAACTCCTTCCTTCTTGACTTTCTTAAGTAAGGCGTCTCCTTTTGGCTCTTCATGGGTCAATTCGCTTCAGAGTCGGTGTATCTTGGCAAAGCTTATTTCAGGAAACTCGATGCCATGGTTCTTCGGGAGGACTCTTCTCTCCCGTTTAGCAAGATATTCCATAACTTGGATCTCTCTTCTCTTGGCTTCGCTATACTCAGCATATTTGTGGTCAGGATTACTTGAGATTTTCTTCTCTTCTTCAGATTTCCACTCTGCTTTCTTCTGCCTTTTATCAGCTATGCTGCCTTGAGGTTTTTCAGTCTCAGCACAGTTTTCAGTGAATTTATTGACCTGACCGATCTTGACGAGGGTGCTGCTTATAATTGCTTTGTCAATGGATTTGACATCATCAAGTTTACCATCAAAATAGTCGATGACTTCCAATCTGTCAAGGAGAGAAACCCTCTCAAAGCCCTCGCTAGCCGATAACTGGAGGTATTCAGCCACTGATTGCTGCTTTTGGGAATAACAGAACCATAAGGAGCCTACACTATATTGGGAACTTGAGGCTTTCTTGGTCCAGGCTGTTTTCATCTCGACTGAAATACTCGTCTTGCCTAATACTAAGAGACGGGCTTCTTTCTTGTAGTGTATCTTCTTGTTGGCCTGGAAGTAATCCTTCAGCAAGGCCAGTGGGTTAACTAATTTACTCATTTAGAAAATAATTCGATTTAATTAGAGGAAGTTTAAGGGACTATATGCAACCTCCCAATTTTTAAAGTAGTTCAATTATTCGAAGATATTTTGGGGTTTTGGGGTTTTGGGGTTTTGGGGTTTTGGGG